GGGGGGGGGGGGGTGTCCACCATTCAGACACTGGCTGCAGTTCATCTGGAGCCATCTATAGAGAGATGTTTGCCAAGCAAATTACGAGGGTCAACAGGACGGGGGAGGCTGCCTCTCCCACCTGCCGGACAGGGCTCCTCAGCCGTCTGCCGCCGCCTGGCACTGGGGCACTGGCCCCTCAGCCACAGGCAGCCTGGCTGGCTCCCTGTGCTCTCAGTGGGGGTGGGGGGCCCCCTCGGGGTCTTTCCCCCAGAGTCTCTCCCAGCGCCCTGAGCTCCAGCAGGTCCCCTGGATCCCCACCCGCCTGCCCCGGTGCTGGCTGGTTGTGCAACCGGCTGCTTGGCAGTGGGCTTATCAGCTCATCACCACAGATGGGCTGCCCCCTCCCCCACCCGCCCGTTCTCAGGCCCCCAAGTGCCCTAATCGGTTGATCTTGCGTCCAGAACATGTTTTCCAAGGACCTTTGAGCCTCAAGAACGTTCCAAGGTGTGAGTTCCCATGGGAGGAGACCAGGCCGGCACCAAAGCTGCTCAGCCCCCTGCTCTTTGCCCTCCACTGGGGGTGGGGGAGAGGCTGGGGCTGCCAGGCTCTGTTCTCAGGAACTCCTAACGTCCTTGATTGACAGGTGACGAGACCCAGAGCGAGGATCCACAGGAGCCAGGTGAGCACTGGGACCGCCCACGGAGGACACATGGGGCCCCAGCACCTGGACCCACCCTAAGGAGGGGTTTGGGTGCTGGCCCAGTAGAGAGACTGCTGAGGGGACAGTCCCTGTATCCTAGGTTGAGGGTGGGGTCAGTGGCAGGGAGCAAGGGGTCCCTGGGTGGGATGAGGCAGAGGGTTGGGTGGATAGGGAACTAGGGAGGAGCCTGGGGCCTCAGGATGGCTGTTTGCACCCATCCAGGCTCAGCCCCAGAGGTGATGCCTGGGGGCTACACCTATGACCCCCCTTGCCGCTGGCTGGAGATGGCAGACCTGCAGGCCAGTGTCCCGGCCACGCTGGGCAATGGCACCCGGCTGCAGCTGGCGGGGGTCCCGGCGGGCGTGCTACGACGGCCAGGGCTGAAACACTTCTTCTGCTGCGAGGGCTGCGGCAAGGTCTTCTGGGAGGGCTCCCATCTGGGCCGCGTCACCTCGCAATTCCACGAGGTCCTGGACGGTGCCCCCGGCTCCCACGAGCCCAGCCCAGCCCCCACCCCCTCCTGAGGGTGCCCTAGGCCCTACTGGCCTGCACTGTGACAATAAAAGTGGGAAAGGCCCCACCTGCATGGGCTGGGGCTGTGTATCATTCGTGTGTATCGCTCATTGCGCGCCTGGGGGGTGAAAGTGAAGGCTCCCACGTGGTCAGGATGCTCGGCCCCTGAGCCGAAACCTGCCCTGTGCTCAGGAATGAGGCAGCCAGGAGGCGGGAAAGGCATGCCTGGTGGAGGAAATGGTCTCGGCAAAGGCCCAAGGGCTGGACCAAGGTGGCTCCCCAAGTCAGCTGGAGCTCAGTGAGGCTAGAGGGGTGCGCTGGGTGGCCCACCCACTTTGCTGTGGCAGTAAATGCCACCCTCTCCACCCCACCCTGGCTGCCTTCTCAGGCCAAGAGCCAGCCCTCTGGCCAGGCAGGACAGGGCCTTCTTTGCCTTCCTCCCAGCAGATCCTGGGGCCCCAGCCAGGAGGCCTCCAACTCCAAGGAGCATGGATGGTGGGATCCTGGGGAGCAGGAACCCTTAGGCCAGGTAGGAGGACTTTCTAGGGAAGGGGCCCCAGCCCAGCCCGGTGAACGAGGCAGGGCAGCCGCCCTCGAGGAGGCACCCATGCCCTGCTGCCCTGGGCCCTCGCTCTCCTTCCCTCACCCCTAGTCAGGCCTGGGTGGCCTCCTCTTGGGAGGAAAACCAGCAATCACGTTGCATGACAGGGCCCTGCACCCAAGTGTGTTCATGCCTTCGTCCTCACATCTGCTAAGCCCACTCTGGGGGAAACTGAGGCTCAGGCTCATGGCTGACCCCACAGAAGGCCTGAGGGCACCAGTGCCAGGTGTGGTGTGGAGGGGTGTGCCCGGGGATGGGGCTCACAGGTAGAGGCTCCTGCCAGTGGCTGGCCTGGTCCCAGGCTGCATTTCACCCCCGCCCACCTCCTCCTGCTCACCCCCCCAGGAATGCACCCCTCCCTCGATCACATCCCTTTCCTGTCTTCCTGCCTGAAGCGGAAACCAGCTCAGATTTGGCCCAGGAGCCCCAGGCGGAAGCCTCCGGGTGTCAGAGTCCCAGGGCCTGTGCAGGGCCACTGCCTTCACCCTGGGCAGGGTGCACCTGCAGATCCAGGTGTGATGGCTTCAAGTGCAGGGTGGGCACCAGCAGTGCCAGGCCAGACCCTGCCCCAGGGCTGGCCATTGCCCCCTGAGCCCCCAGGGGTGCAGCCCAAGTGGGGGTCAGACTGAGGAATGTGGACGGTGGGGGCTTGTGCACAGGGCACACAGGTCTCCTGCCACACTCCACGACCCTTCCTGTCCTTTCCTTTGCAGCACCCACCCTGTGCCAGGCGCTGGCCCACTTAGCCCCCCAGCAACCCTGGGGCCAGCTGGGCCAGGGTGCCACTCCACAGCTGGCGACAGGAGACCCAAGCCGAGCGGGCACCCCTGGCCTTCCTGCTCCCCGTGGTCACTACTGAGCCCAAGGGTCAGGCAGGGGTGCCAAGGTGAGCGGGCAAGCTGGACCCCACCAGGAACGGGGACCCTCCACAGCTGAGGTGCAGCTTCCAGGAGCAGGACCTTCGGCCCCGCGTCCTGTCCTGGGGAGGCAGACCGAGCGCGCCCCTTCCCGGGAGGGTTAAGAGGAAGCCGCAGGGGTGCCCAGCCCGCTTCCCAGCACAGCTGCTTCCTGGAGACTCTGCTCTGACCTGAGGCCCTGGCGCTGCAGCCAGCCCCGGACAGACAGAAACCGGAGGAACCGGGGAGAGGCCATGACCACAGTCTCGGGGACAGGAGGCTGTGTGTCCTTCCTGTCCCCCAGCAAGTCTGGCCCTAGCCTCGCTCTGCCCTTCCCCTCTGTGCAACCTCCAGAAAGAGGAGAGGGCAACTGACGGGGGCACACCTGCCCGTCCAGCCCGCCTCCCACCTCCCCAGCCCTCTGCCGCCCAGACTGGCTGTGTCCGTGCGGGACCCCTGGGCTCACTCGCGCTGCCAGCCGGCCCTGGCTCTGAAGCACCCCCGCTGGGGTCCTGAGCCGGCCTCCGCCTGGGGACGACCTCAGGCCCCTTCCGGAGCTGGGGTTAGACACCAGGCCCACAGGGCGGGCTGTGGCCCCCGTGCCAGGCGGTGCCTAAGCGGCCAGTCGGCGGGCAGGAGCCGCGATTGTCTGCGGCAGTTCCTGCCCCGGGCGTCCTTCCTGCGCCGGCCGCGCTGGCCGGGCCGAGTGTTTGTTATTTGATCTGTGTCCTCCGCGCGGCCCTTCTACCAGGTGTCTGGGCTGCTGGGAAGAAATCCTCTCCTCTTTCCCACGCTCCCCGACACATTTTAATGAATTAGCTGCAAGCCCCGCCCCCACTGCCCGCCTGCCCCAGGGCCTCCTCGCCCTCCTTCCCCTGCCCAGTGCCTTTAAGGTGGCCGCAAGCCTGGGCCCAGCTCTGGCCAGCCGCCCCATCAGCACTGTCCTCCCTGCCCAGGCCTTCCCAGCCGGGGGCCAGCACGTTCCCCAACCTGCCCCCCACCCCCTCTGCTCTGAGCCTCCAAAGAAAACAGGTCCCCAGAGGGAGAAGGGGTCTCTCTTCAACTCTGGCCTCCTCCTTGGGCCATCCCCCAGGAGGACAAGGTCCAACCTGGACCCCAGGTACTGGCTTCTCCTTCAGAGCATGAACCCCCCCCACACACACACACACACGAAGAGGCTTCTCAGAGCTCCAGGGAGCCAGCTCCCCCTCCCACCAAGGCATTTAGACAAATGACCTCTTTTTGGATGTGTCCTTCAGCAAACATTTAGGACGTCCAGGCTGCACAAGGTCAGCTCGGGGACGTGGGGTGTGGACCAGTGAAACTTGGAGTGAATTTTTCCTCCGGGCCACCATGAAGGGGCACGAGCTTCAGTGGTCCCTCGGCTCCCCTTGGACAGTGTGGCTGTCACCTGAGCCCACAGAGGAGCAGCCGGGCGAGGGGGGCTGGGACCATGGCCACAGAGCTGTGGCAGGCCCAGATACACCCATGGGACCTGAACTCCCAATGAACGCTGGGTTGGGTGTCCAGCAACCTCAGGCTAGACTCCCCGGGCAATTCCAGCCACATGGTCCCT